CACCAGGTGTAATTTTTTTTTTTTGCTCTGGATACACATTCTAAAATAAAGAACATGCTTACACTTTCATATTTCTTTGCCCTCCAGTGGCACAGCTGAATATCTGCAGCCTTACAACGCTAGAAACCGGTTTTCGATACCCGTGGTTGGCAGAGCACAGATAAGCCATTGTGTAGCTTTGTGCTTAAGTAGAAACAAACAAACAAGGTATCTGAAACCCCCCAGTGGCACAGCGGTATGTCTGCAGACTTACAACGCTATAAACCGGGTTTCGATACCCGTGGTGGAGAGAGCACAGATAGCCCTTGTGTAACTTTGTGCATAATTACAAAGTTACAGTGTGTGTGTGTGTGTGTGTGTATGTATTTTAGCAAAGCCACACTTAGTTATCTGTCGTGTCCACATCGAATTTTTGCGCCATAAGTCCGTAAATTAACTTACTGCTCACCCACCAGGGGACTTTATTTACAGACTAGATTTAATTTCAAAACAAATTAGCTCCTGGATAATTTACTATCATGTTGTTGAACGTACATCATGTATCGTCTATTATGCATTTATTTATTTATTTATTTTGCGTACTGGCTTTCCTAAACTTAATCGCAATAAGGTTAGGATCGTGCGACTGGAACAGTGTCTAACGTGCACGTGCTGAGCGTTAATTTGGTTCGTTTGTTTGCTATCAAGCAAAAAGCTACACATAGGACTGACTATCTGTGCTGTCTCCATTCCGAGTATCGAAACCTAATTTGTAACGTTATAAGCCTTCAAGCTAATTGCATAAACACCGGAGGACCTGAATTGAGTAAAGAAATTTGATGATTCTTCTCCAGGCCAACGACATCTGGTAAACTTTGCAGATATTGGCTGACCAGGTTTGACCAATGCTGAAGAAATATTTCTGTGTCCTTGTACCAGTCTTTAAATTCTGCAGTTACTGTTTAAAATTACACAAACCAAACAAAGAGTTAACCCTAAGACCACAAGTAATCACACCATATAGTTCTTTAATAGATTGTGCATAGCGGAAGATTTAGGGGGACATGTCCCCCACACACATAAAAAAACAGTGAAAAGAGAATGACGTAACAAAACACATGTAAATGTCCATCTGTGGAAAAATAACTACAATACTTACACTTTTATTTATCCATTTGTTTCGTGGTTTCGTAAATTTACAGAGAATCTACAGTAGAAACATTCAAATATCATATTTTAACTAAACGGTAATAAGTACTTTATTTTCGAAATACACAAACATAAAATACAATCCTTGTATACATCAAGTACATTATAATACAGCCAAAAATAATACTTTCTTTTCTTCCCCTTTTATCGTTTTTATTTGGATTAAAATGTGTTTGTTTGTTTTTGAATTTCGCGCAAAGCTACACGAGGGCTATCTGCGCTAGCCGTCCCTAATTTAGCAGTGTAAGACTAGAGGGAAGGCAGCTAGTCATCACCACCCACCGCCAACTCTTGGGCTACTCTTTTATCAACGAATAGTGGGATTGACCGTCACATTATAACGCCCCCACGGCTGAAAGGGCGAGCATGTTTTGGTGTAACGGGGATTCGAACCCGCAACCCATTAAAATGTGACTTTAATTATGCTTTCTCCTAACTGAGGCTCGTATTAGGTTCCTGACTCGTATTTTATAATATTAAACAACTGATAACAGAATAAATAAACATTTCTCTAATTTGCATGAAATATCGCGAGATCCCAAGCAACTGTATACCTAACTCATGATTAAGTCCATAATGATGATTTACTGTGTAGTTCAAACAGAATTACGACCCGGCATGGCCAAGTGGTTAGGGCGCTCGACTCACAGTCTGCGGGTCACGCCAAACATGCTCGCCCTTTCAGCCGTGGGGGCGTTATATTGGGACGGTCAATCCCACTATTCGTTGGTAAAAGAGTAGCTCAAGAGTTGGCGGTGGGTGGTGATGACTAGCTGCCATCCCGCTAGTCTTACACTGTTAAACTAGGGACGGCTGGGAAAGAAAGCATAACGGAAACCAAAGCCTACCAACTTTGGATTCACCAATATGCATTTGCATCTTTACCGCCCGTAAACAGACATAAGAAAAAAAAAGAGCCTTCTTGCTTTGGGAAGCCAAAGCCAATCATGAGCAATATCTCCTTTACCTCAGCGTTCATTGATCACAGTTATTTTATTATTATTACATTAATTATATTATTATAATAGTTCTATTAAAACCACATTTCTTGTAAATATTCGATCATCGTTCAAAAACTTCTCTTC